TGGCGGAGGAGGTGCGGCATCTTCAGCGACCTAAAGTGCGGGCTTTGTCCTTGCTGGCCTGGCCTGGCCCTGCCCGGGGGGGGGGTCATCACTGCTGGGCAGAAAGGCAGGAGCTCGGCCTGCACCCAGCCAGGAGGGCTCGAGCTCCCTGCAGGGCCGCACGGGGTCCCTGGCCCAGACCCTGCCGACCGCCTGGCCTTGGTCTCGGGCTGCGCTGCTCCTGTCCGCTGCTCCTGTCCCCAGCGGGAGGGAGCAGCTGGTGGCTGAGGTCTCCCGAGGCCCAGGCTCAGGGGCCAGGGATGGCGGGACGGGAGGGGAGGGGAGGCCTGCATCCTTGGCTGGAGAGACCCCACCAAGAGGGAAGGGCCTGTGGCCGCCCAGGCTAGAACATTCTGCCATGGAAGCCAAAAAATCCCCACAGAGACACTGTAGCTTCGGCCTGTGGAGGAGGAAGAGGATTTCCTCTCCAGGCAGCTCCTGGGGACTGGCAGCCAGGATGGAGGCTTGGGGAGGAGGGACAGGAAATGAGGCCCAGACGCCAGGCAGCACCAAATTTGGACAAGCTCAAGGGCGAGAAGCCTGGGCCAGGCCGGAGCAGGCCCCGGGAAGGACGGGCGAGACCTGGGGAGAGGCACTGCTGTGCAGACTGGCTAAACTGAGGCACCGGTGCCCATCCCACTCCACAGAGCGGCACGTCCCGGGCGGTGATGGGGTGAGGCCGGGTGAGCACTGGCTGGGTGTCATAGAGGCCCCCACAGCCCTGCAAGCCGCACTCCGCTCACTCTGATCACAGACAGCAGAGACCTCGGAGCCTTCCCAACACCTGTTGGGAGCAGCTAAGACAGCCGCATCCCTGACTTCCAGCCAGCTGGCGCCTTCGCTGCACAAGCTGACATAATGGGCTGGGAGCTCAGTGGTCAGCGCCTACCTGGCATGCATGAGGCCCTGGCATCCCCAGCACTGCAAAGAAGAAGAAAAGAAATTAACACAATCGGGCCAGGGATTTAGCTCAGTGGCTTCGCCACCTGCTGTGCAAGCGCAGGGACCCGAGTTCGATCCCCGGTACCAAAAAAAAAAAAGAAAAGAAATTAACACAATCGGGCCAGGGATTTAGCTCAGTGGCTTCGCCACCTGCTGTGCAAGCGCAGGGACCCGAGTTCGATCCCCGGTACCAAAAAAAAAAAAGAAAAGAAATTAACACAATCAGTGTAGAAACAGCCCATCCTCCAAGTCCACAAAGCTAGAGCAGAAACGCACATGTGGTAATGGCTTCCAGAGTGGGAACAGCCTCTCCTTGTGTAGTGTGCAGCCTGAACAACTGGACATGATACCCTGATGAGTAATTGGATTTGAATTTGGGGCTGCTGCTTCAGAGCCTGGGCACCAGCTACTTCATTCCCTGGGCAAATGTCCCTGATTCGGCCCAGCTCTGGTTTCTAAACACGTTGACTGAGGGCTCTGGCCAGGAAGGAGGGGGCCTTCCTTGGTCCCAGGGTGGGGGGTCTAGGACACTCGAAGGAGAACTGGCCAGGCCCCAGGCATGCGGGAGTGAGTTGGAAAAGGGAGCGGCAGAGAGGATCAGATGTGCACACACACGTGTGTGTACACGCATGTGTGTGGCTGCTGGGTAGGCAGGGCTGGCCTGGGGGTGGCGGCCGCCTGTGGCTGGGACAGGTACAGCCGGGGGGTTCCCTGGGCCCTACTCATGAGGGAGCAGGGGTTCTCTCCCTCAGAGGGCGGGTAGCACCCAGAGGGCCCTGGGCACTGAGCACCGACTGTACACCAGGGCTGGGGTGGCGCGGGGGGTCTGTCAGGGGCCACTTCCTGGGCCCGTCTGTCCTTTCCGATGGGGAGACTGGGCTGCAGGGGGAGGAGCAGACAGGAAGGGGCTGGGCACCGCCTAGGTGGCCAGGGTCACCCTGTTCCTGCAAAGGGACACTTGGGGCTTCTCAGTTTCCAGGGATTCCGGACTCCCGCCCCGTGCAGGTTCCCACAGGAGGAAGCTGCGTCCATGGCCTCCCTCCCCCGCAGGGCACCCAGCTCAGGGGCTGTGGCAGCTGGAGGGGCACCGCTCTCACTGCCACTGTCCCATAGCTGCACACGACACCTGCCCGGGGCCCGAAGGATGTCCCAGGTCCCGGGCCCTGGCCTCCTGCCCGCCTGCTGCCGCCCAGGGCGAGACCCACCTGGCCGTTCCGTTCCTTCCTTCCGGCCCCGCCTTTCCTGTGGCCACCCCGTTCTTCCCGGTCCCCACCCTGCTGGCTGGCAGCTCCGGTGCTGCCCACCCCCACCCAGGGCTGCTGCAGGCACAGTGGGGGCCCCTGGGTGGCCTGTGCCCTTCATGCTCACTTCTCTGGCTTTGCAGTCCTGAAAGCATGAGTCAGAGATGGGGAAACTGAGGTCGTAGAGTTCAATGACTTGACAAGGTCACACACCCAAGTTCATGGTGGGGACAAGGACAAAATCTGAGTCCAGGAGTCCCTGCCTCCCACAGGGTGTCTAACCACTGCACTACCCAGCCTTGCCCCTGCACCCCTGCTCATACAACGTCCGGGCTGTTGTGGAATCAGGATGTTCCTGCTGTGGCTGCTGGCTCCAGCCCAGCCTCAGGAAATGTGCTGACCCGCAGACATCAGAAGGGCTCTGCCTAAGCACAGGCCCTCGAGGGGTTGTGACGCTTCCGCAGGGCAGGCCCTGGGGGCCACTGGCACGGGGTGTGGCACAGATGTCTCTTGGGAGCCCAGCCCATTAGAGAGGAGTGGGCCGAGGGCCGGAGGGGAGGCCTTTGGTGGCTGTCGCTGGGCTGCAGGGACAGCGTCCTGATCCAGGCTGGGTCTGGACCCTCAGTTTCTTACTATATATATATATATATATTTATTTATTTATTTTTTAGGTACTGGGGATCGAACTCGGGTCCTTGGACTTGCGCAGCACTGAGCTAAATCCCCGGGCCTGGATCCTCGGTTTCTTATCTGCAGAGAAGGAAAACTGTCCATCCACGGGGCTGCCCCAGGAGGGGAAACCGAGACTCGAGCCCCTGGGTGCTCGCAGTTCAGCAGCCAAGAAGGCGGGCGGCTGAGGTCAGCGTGAGGGCCAGGGCAGGCGTCCTCTGTGTCCCCCAGGTCCGGCCTCCGCTTGGGCCCCCTTCCACCCCAAGCTGGCCAGCAGGCACCCCTTGTGGGACCCTGTCAGTGCCCTCTCGGCCAACATCCCTCCCTCCACTGCTTGGGCTGGCCTGGCCGGGGCTGACTGGCCCCGGCTCCCTGCAATTCAGGGGACAGCCTCTCCTCCCTCCGTGCCAGCTGCCCGTTCCCCTTCAGCTGCTCCGATTTCACAGTGCTCAAATGTTCAAGGTCGTGGGGTCAGCTGGCGGGGGTCTTCTCCCTGACTCCCCAGCAGCTGGGCCCACCTGGAGCCCCCCACACTGGTCAGCAGCTTGGCTGGCCTCTCCCTCTGAGCTCACACAGAGCCGCAGATTGCTTTGAGCTCAGAGGAGTCCCAGCCTCCCTTGGGACCCCAGCAGCCTAGGTGACCACATCCTGCCTGCTGGCCAAGCGCCTATCAAGGCCTGGGAACAGGAGGGATGCTCCTCCCCCGTCCACCCAGAAAGATCCCAGGGAAGGACTGTGATTGGGCCTGGGGAAGTCACACACCCATCTCTGCACCAATCACAGTGACCAGGAGAGTGGGAAGCTGTGATTGGCTGGGTCTGAGTCACATGTGTTCCTGTTGCCAAGGGGCAAAGGGAAAATAGTATGATTGGCAACTTCTCCCGGGACCTCAGGGACAGAGCAGGGCAGAAGTGCCTCCCCAAGACAGGGCACACACAGCCCATGGGCGGGGAGTGGGTTCGGGGTACAGCCGGACGCCAGGCTGCACACCAGGGCAAGTCCCACGGGGAGGTCGACAGGGTGGGGTGTCTCCTCCCACAGCACTCTGAGCCCCGTGCATCCAGGCAGGGGGCCCGTGACCCCCCAGTGCAGCCCTCTGGGGCCCTGCAGGCTGTCCCGGTGCCCGGTCCTCCCTGCGCCGAGCACACATTGCAAACATCTGGTGCTGGCTGCTGCTGGGGGTCCCTCCTGGGGCTCTCGCCGCTGACAGGAGCCAGTGTGCGGTTTTATTACCGGCAGAGCACATCTGGGAACACTCCAGGCCAGCCCAGAGCCCACACCCAGGGCCGTGGCCGCCGCCCAGGAAGGCCTCCCTCCTCCTCCTCTGACCTGGCCGCCATGTGACCGCACTTCTGCACGGCTGGACGGCGTCCACCCAGCCCTGTGTGTGGAGCTGAGCCAGGAGGGAGGCGAGGCCAGGCCACCAGGGCTGAGCCGAGCTCTGCCTTCACCCCGCGCCTCTCTGCCCTCTCGCTCGCTGGCTGGCTCGTGCTGCTTTCGGCCTTCCTGTCCTTCCTTCCTTCCCTCCTTTCTGCCCCATTCTCTCTCCTCCCTCCCTCCCTCCTGTCCCCTTTCCCACCCAGGAGGAGGGCTGGGACCAGACCCGGACCAGTGATGGGACTTCGGCAGAGCCCACCTCCCACTTCTACAAATGCCCACTGCGCCTGGATGTGGCCTCGGGCTGACCTGGGTGGACATGGCGGGGGACAGGGCTTCCTGAAGGGAGATCCAGAGCGATGGGCCCGGGTCCCCCCTTCTGTCCGTGCATCCGTCTATGGCTCCGCATCCACCTGCTCAAGCCCCCACCAACCAGGCCCCTCTGCAGCGTGTTTACTTTGTTTAAAGCATCAACTCTTTGTTCTGTTTTGTGGTACTGGGATTGAACCCGGGGCCTGCTTACTGAGCTGCATCCCCAGCCCTTTTATATTTTATTTTGAGACAGGGTCTCGTCACTAAGTTGCCAGGCCTCAAAACTTCGATCCTCCTGCCTCAGCTCTTTTGCCTGTGAGGACCCTTGGCAGGGTGGGCAGGGCCAGGGCCCTGGGTGTCCGAGTGGAGTCCGCAGGAAAAAGGACTAGAGAGGGAGAGAGCAGGCCTGGTCGTTGGCCCATGGGTCACAGTGAGGACTTTGGGCTTCAGCCTAAGAGCCAGGAGGAAGCCGATCCCCGGCTGAAGAGGGGAGCGTCGTGGCCGACAGGCTTCAGCAAGACCCCTGAGCCAGTGGAGGAGGCGCAGGGGCAGCTGGGCAGGGGGGATCAGCTGTGACCACTTAAGCTGAAGTGACAGGGCTAGGTGGGCAGCGGAGACCAAAGGTCTGGGCCTTTCGGTCATCTGACAGTGGGCAAGCCCTGGAGGTCTGGGCCTCAGTTTCCCATGTCTAGACTGGAAGAGTTTGTCCAGCTGCTGGGCTCAGGGTAGAGTAACAGCTCATTACAACAGGGTGGGTACACAGGTGGGGCCAAGGGGGGCCCCAGGTCCCCCCCAAAGCAAGGCCAGCAGGGACACAGGGACGGGGTGTGAAGGGGAGCCGGGGTCTCATCCTCAGTCAGGCTCTGGTGTGGCACTGTCGTGGGCACGTGTTTCCTGGGGGCTGGTGTGTGAGGGTGGCCTTGGCTGCTTCTCAGTCCCCGTCCCTCCCTGGGCCTCGAGAGGAGAGTCCCCGATAGAGAAGCATGGGCTGCTTTTGTTTCCGAGGGCTGGGAACAAGGAATTCTTAGTGAAAGGAAAGCACAAAACAGGTTTGAGCCCTGAAGCTGCTGCATGATGTACTCAAGCTTCAAAAAACTTGAACTACTTCAGCAAGCACAGATACCCCTCAAGGCCGATGGTGTGGCTGCTCCATCTACACAGCAGGGCTGGGAGATGCGAAGGAACTGGGAGACCTGCGGATTACGGGGCCTAGCGGTCGGGATCAGGGGCTCCCCGCTGTCGCCCAGATCTGTGGTCAGGGTGCCGCCCAGCACCCGCCTGTCCCCCACGGGAGCTGCAAAGAAAACCTGCTCCCCACGGATGCCCCGCTTGGGAGAAGCCGAACGCCACAGTGTTCTGCTCCAAATGCAGGTTTGTTTAAATCAGGGCCCAAATGAGGTCCATGCTGTGAGGGGTTCATGCAAACATGGGCTCCATACATGAACTCTACTATACAGGGCCCCCCATCTCTGCTTCCTCACAGCGGATGTGCTGGACAGTCCAGCCCAGCTCTTGAGCCTGGAGAAGCCCCAGTCTCGGGAGTCCTCGCTGAGCACAGCCCCACAGACATCGCTGCCGGGCACAGCACACACGGGCTGCACTGCCCAGGTGTCAGAGGATGTGAGCAGCCATCCCTGGCCAGGTCCCGGCTGGGCAGCAAGGCGTGAGGACGGAGCGCTGGTGACTCCAGGCGTGCGCTGGGCCCGTGACAGGATAAAGCCCCGAGCAGGAGCCAGGGCTCGTGACTCCACTGTCCTCCCCAGGTGGCTTCGCCTGACTCCCTGCTGGGCTGTGCGCTCCTGGGGTCCCCGCTTGCCTGCCTCTGGTCCCCAGCGCCCAGCGCCGGGTGGTGTGGATGGAGGGAAATGCAGAGAGCAGGTGGGGGCAGGGGAGGCACGAATGGTGTCTGTGCCAGGCGTCCCGTGGGGACAGCAGGACTGGGGTGGGTGAGGTGGGGCTGAGCTGGGAGTCCTGGAGCCAGGGTGGCCCTGCGTCGTCCCCGGCGGCAGAGAGGGCCGGGCTCTGCGCCAGCAACCTTGGGTCCAGGCGGCCACAGGGTCCCTTGAGCGGAAGAACGCGTGCGCCGCCAGGGGGCGCTGCTGAAAGTACCTGGAGGCGTGGTCTGCGCATGGGGAGTGGACGGTATCGCTAACGGCCCTGAGGCTTAATGAACTCCCTTACTGCGACTTCTTCCCTCGAAACTACAATTCAGTGTTCTTTAGCATGTTCGCGGAACCGTGCAGCTGTTACCACTACTGGTTCCGGATGATTTTCATCCTGAAAAGAAATGCCCTCCTCTGTCCTCAAAGTCACTCGGTCCCTAGGGGTCTTTCCATTGTCAACAGATCCTGTGGCTGCCACGCTACAAAATGTGGCCTCTGCATCCCCCAATCAGAGTTGTTCTGTGTGGGAGCACGAACCGGAGCTCTCTCTGTTTGGGGCTGTGTAGTACTCCAGCGTGTGGAAGGACCACATTTACCTTGTGCACTGGCCTTGTTGGATGTTGTGGTCTTCCTGTGCCATGTCGCTGTGAGGAGTGCAGATATGAACCTCCCTGTGCTGCTGTGGTGCAGACAGATGTTTCCAGTTCTCCCACGCACTGTTTCCCTAGGGGAGGAACCGCTGGGTCAGAGATAACTTTGGGCTTTTGAGGAACCCTCTGCCTCCTCGCCAGCAGGCTGCGAGGTCGGCCCGTCCCTCCTCTGACCCGTACTTGCTCTTCTCTGCTCTCAAGCCACCCCCGTGCTGTGACTGAGTCTTCACGCTGCTCCCTGCCCATGCATCTGAATCCTGTTGAGAAACGTCTGTTCTGACCTCCTGGGCTGATCATCGGCCTTGCCACTGGGACAGGAATGTCCCCACAGGCTCCCATGTGGGAGGCCTGGTCTCCAGCGTGGCGCTCTTTGGGAAGCCCTCCCATCCCCTGGGTTGCCCTCGAAGGGGACCGTACTACACAGTGTCACTGTCTTCCACCTCCTGGCCATGAGGTGCAGGTTTTGTCCCAGCTCCTGCTCCTACCACGGTGCTCTGCTTGCCACAGGCCCCAAAGTGGCAGAAGCCTGTAAAACAGAGAGCAAAGGAAACCTGCTCTCTCCATAAGCTGATTATCAAGGGTGTTTACTACGGGAAGAGAGGCCAGCAGGGTGTGTGTGAGTGTGTGTGTGGCGCTAGGGAGTGAAGCAGGGCCTCACAGCTGCTAGGCAAGTGCTCCACCACCGAGCCACATCCTAGCCCTTTCCATTTTATTTTGAGATAGGGTCTCACTAAAGTGCCCAGGTTGGCAATGAACATGTGGTCCTCTTGCCTCTGCCTCCTGAGTGTCTAGGCTTATCTGTTTGCCACCATGCCCAGCACAGCCTTCTATACGTGTCTAGATATAGATCCCATATCAGACCCATGACTGAAAAATATTTTCTTGCATTCTATGGTTGTCTCTACCTTTGATGGTCTCCTTCAAAGCACAAAAGTTTTGACTTTGATGAAGCTTAATTTCCTGGTTATTCTTCTGTTGCTTATGCCATTTCTAAGAATAAAATGTCCTCATCCAAGCATATGAAGATTTCCCCTCCCCTCTGTTTTATTCGAAGAGCCTGGCAGTTTTAGCTCCACGTTTAGGCCTTTGCTCCACTTAACGTTTCTATACGGTGTGGGTAGGGGTCAGCTCTGTTCTTGTGCACATGGACATCTAGTGGCCCTGGCCCTGTCTGTGGACAAGGCCACTCTGTCCCCAACAGTGACCCTGGCACCTTTGCCTGGTACTGTGAGGGCTGACTCTGGGCTCTTGGCTCCTTTCCACTGGTCTAGACGACTGTCCTTATGCCAGAATCACATAGCCTCGATGATGGTGACCAGGACTGAGGTGGCTCTGTCATGATCGTGCTGGTGCAGCCTCCCTGGGGGACCAGCTGGGGCAGTGCCTGGGACCTCGGAAGGCTGTCACCACAAAGCTGAGGGGCCTGGAATCAGTCCCAGTTAGCACTGATAGCTGGCCCGAGCACGGAGCTGTGGAGAGAGGCGGGCGGGAGGCCAGGACCGAGGCAGACCAGTGCTGGGAGAGCCTCGAATGCCAAGTTCTGGTGCCAAGCTCTGATGCCTTAGGGCAGGGGGAGCCACAGAAGGCATGTGGGGGGCTTGGGAAGCCTTTCCTTGCAGGCCTTAAATGCCTGTCACCCTCACTGTGTGGCACCACCACTCAAGGCTCATGGCAGTCCATGAGGACTACATCCACTCTCTCCTGTGCCCAGGGTCCCCTCAGTGGCCGAAAGCAGCACATTGTATGCTGGTCTCCAGGATTTCCTGAGCAGCCCATGAGTTGGACAGATCTTTGTCCAAACCCTCCCCAGAGAGCCCGGGGCTGCCAGCCAGGGCCAGGCTGTGAGTCAGTGGGAGTGTTGTTAGCTCAGCACATAGGGCCTTGCAGGGAGGGTCTTGTGGTGCATGGATGCTCTTCTATTGGTCATCTGATGCTGGGTGTCAGCCACCCCCCCACACCCTCTGCCGCTTGGCTGCATCCCAGAATCCTCTGCTGCTTGGCTACCTCCCTGTATCCTCTACTGCCTGATCACTTCCCAGCATCCTCTGCTGCTTGGCCACATTCCAGAATCCTCGGCTACTTGGCCACCTCCCAGCATCCTCTGCTGCTTACCCAACTCCCAGCATCTTCTGTGGTGTGGCAGGTGCTGAGCTGGGAGTGGGGTACCAGCTCCTGACCCCAGGAGGCCATCGACCCCCGTGCCCCTTGCAGCCCTCAGAAACAACCCCAGATCAGCCTCGGGCAAAGCTGGAGGTCAGGGCCTCCGTTGGGCTGAGTTGCTTCTGGGAGAAGAGGCCCTCTGCCCCTCCCCAAGTCCTGAGGTGCAACCCCTGGCCCTGAGGACATGGCGGGTGAGCTGCCAGAGGTCACTGCACTTCCCCCTGCCCACCCCTCCCGGGACTGGATGGTCACCTCTTGTCACTCCCACCCTCAAGCCAGGTTTTGGCTGAGGCAGGGACACACACAGCCAAAACGGAATTGAATTTATACAAACAGTGTCCACCCAGTGCCGGCAGCCAGAGGCGCTCAGCCTCGGAGCCAGGCGGGCTAGCCGACAGGGGAGCGAGGGCCCGTCCTGGCCACCACCTCCCCCGAAGGCTCCACGGCCACAATGCCCCAGGGAAGCGGCCTGCCCGCCAAAGGCTGCAGCTGCAAAGCCCAGCCAAGGCCACATAGCATTTCCTGTCACCAAGCTTCCGAGGCCAAGCCATGTTCCCTGTGGCCTGGGTCCAAACCTGACCGACTCATCATCCCGTGAGGAAGTTTCGGGCTGCCTGAGTGGGGAGGTGGCAGGTGGGAGGGGGTCTCCTCTGCGTCCCAGGGCTTTCTGGTCCCCACTGTGCCACCATCGTGGTCAGGCCGGTGGGTTGGGGACCTGGATCTGGGGCTGGGTGAAATTCCGCTGAAGAGGGTTCGTGTCTGAGCCAGGGACAGATTTGGGGCACTGACCCCGCAAGGTGCTTCTGGGTCCTGCTCACCTTCCTGAGGCCTGGTGGGATGGGACAGAGCAGGCTGGCATCTGACATCTCACCCAGGGACCGAGCCAGGGTGACACTCCCTGGTTCTGTCACCTTGCCCCAGAGGTGGCCACCAGAGGAGGTGGTGCACGGCTTCCCTGGCCCTGCCAGCCCTGGGATAGGGCCTCACAGGCCCAGCTTCCCATGGCTGGGGGCAAACAGGAAGTCAACAGCCACCCAGCCTGGGGATGGAGGGCACCTGGGTGGCCGATCAAGGGAATGAGAGTAGCTCTCGGCTGAGCACCCAGTGGGTGAAGCCTGCGCCTGGCCCTGGTTCTGCCGTCTGATTTGGTCTCACTGCCCCTTGAGGTAGACACCATGTGTTGCTGACACCAGTGAAACCCCTGACCAGAGAGAGGACGTGGCTCACCAGGGCCACCCTGCTGGCTGGGGGCTGGAAGCCCGGACACCGCCACCCCACAGCTGCCTCCACCTCTGCCCAGGACCTGGGCTCCCTCCTGGGACTCAGCCCTGTCTCCAGAAGATTCTAGGAAAACAAAGCTAGGAGATGAGTGAATGATTTCTGGCTGTGGAGTGCTGAGAGGGGCCCTGGGTGAGCGAGTGGGAGGGGACTCGAAGGGTGAGATGTGGGTGGCCCAGGGGGGATGCCACCTGCTGGAAGGGACAAAGCCACCCGCCTCAGCCTTTCTGCTTTTAAGGAAAACCCCAGTGAGGTGTGAGGCTCGATTGCAGGTGCGACAAGGTGTCCTGCAGGGCAGTGGCCAGCAGCAGGGAGAGCGGTGGCACCCCCGGTGGCTCCCTCCCTTCCCGAGCTGGCTGGGGAGGAGAAGGGGGAGGAAGCAGACCGGCCTGGTGACAGGAGAGGGTGCCTGGGTGTGGTGATGTCCCCGGGCGCTCTAACGAACGCCACAAACGCAGGGCGCAGTGTCCGGAGTGATGACCCCACAGTCCCGGAGGCTGGAAGTGCACCGGGCCTCACGTCGGTGTCCACGGGCCAGACCTCTCGGGGCGGGGGCACCAGCGGGTTTCCTAGAGGCGCCCGCGTCCCTGGCAAGTGGCTCCTCCTCCCCCAAACAGACAGCGCTGCTCCCCAGACCCACTCTGCTCCCCCTCGTGCCTCCCTGTGCCAGTGGCCCTTGCGATGCCGGGCCCGGCTGGCCGATGTGGGATCCTGACCTCATCTCAGAACGCTTCGCCATCGCAGCCTGCAGCGTCTCAGGCGCAGGCACCAGGGTGCAGAGGCGGTGATGTCAGGGAATCTGGGCCGGGAATCCAGCGCCCTGGGTCAGGGTGGGGGGCAGGTGGCGCTGCCCCCTCGTGGTAGGGCCTGAGGGCCCGAGGACAGCACTACAGGATGCCCGGGGCACAGGGCCCCAAGAGCCCTGGGGCTTGGAGGAAAACTTCAGGCCGGGCTGTGCTGGGGCCTCTGCCTCCCCGCAGGGAAAGGTGGGTGGCAGAGGTGCTGACTTGTGCAGACCTGGGGCGCGGGGGTGAGGGTGCATGCTGAGCAAGGGCTGGAGGGGGCCGGCTCCACACAGGGGAGGCCTGCAGAGCCGCCTCAGCTCTGACAGAGCCCGCCTGGAGCCTGCGGGAGAAGGAGGCCGCAGAGCCACAGGCTGGGGCCTCACCCAGACTCTGCCCCCAGGGATGCCGGGCACAGGGCAGCAGCTTCCCTGGCTGCATCCTGCCCGGGAGGCACGAGTGTGGCCCTGTGGAGGGCGGGCAGCTGGGTGACTCTGGTGTGGTGTCTGGGGAACCCGAGCTGTGGCCCCGCAGAAGGCAAGAGGGCAACATCACGGCCCAAGAACCTGGCGCTGCTCCCCCTGCAGAGGGTGCGGGCGGGGCCTGGCTGAGCAGCATGACGCTCAAGCAGCTGCAGGCGGCTGAGGCAGGGTGTGGCCCAGCGTCCTGGCTCTGCCGTCCTAGCTTCTGGTCTCCAAATGGCTCCTGTGGGCACGCGGGAGCCACAGATGGTTTGGGGCGGGGCAGTGGCAGCAGCACTGGTGGTGGCTCTTGCCAAGTGGGGGTGGACACAGGGCTGGGAGGTCTCAGGGCCCCTAGGGGACATTCCTGGGCCCAGCAGGAAGTGGTAGATGCCCAGGCAGAGCAGCCAGGCCAGATGGGTGCCCACAGCCACTGAGGGGCCGAGACTAGAGCCCAAGAGCAGCCTCTGAGAGGCACCCTGGCCGCCGGGGACAGAGGGCAGGCGAGGTGGAGTTGGCTTCCTGGGCTCCGTCCCTGTCCTTCCCTCCGGGTCCCTGCTGGGCAGAGCCGTGGGAAACCTGGTGGCCCGACCTCTCTGGGCTCCTTCCTGCTCAGGCCACATCCTGTGGCCTTTGGGGTCAGGCAGGCTCACAAGGACGTGCTGGCCTCAGCCTTGGAGCTATTAAAATCCAGCGAGCACCGGGCCCTGGACGTCCCGCGGGAGAGGCGGGCCGGGCTGGCCTCACCGAGCCCCACGCCAGGCTCCGCCACCTCCTTAGCCACTCCGGGTTCCCGTAACAGCATAACAGGCGGGAAAAGCCCCACCTGGGAGGTTGCTGGGAGACTCTGGGAGATAGTAACCATGGAGGTCAGAGCAGCCTGGCGAGCCGCTGGGGACTCGTTTTTCTGGCAGAGTTTTGCCCAGGGCCGAGGAAATCATCACCATAAAGCCCCTTCTCAGCACTGCATTCCCTCGTGCCCCGTCCATGCTGTGCTGGACAGTGCACTGGACTCGGGGGCAGAGCAAACCCTGATGTCTTTACTCTGGGGACTGTGTCCCCAGCACTGCACCAAGCACCACCCTGCCCACGGTGGCAGCACCTATGAAGAGGGCATTAGTCTTCTCAGGTTATCGTCCCCCGTTTACAGTCGTTATTTATTGCCAGGCTGGTGGCACACTCCTGTTATCCCAGCACTCCAGAAGGCTGAGGCAGAAGAATCTCAAATCCAATCCCAGCCTGGACAAAATAATGATTTATCAAACCCACACACAAAATTCTTTTACTTAATCATTTTATTTATTTAATTTTTAAAATGCTGTTGAGATAAA